AACCCCGGGGTTATGACTGGCAGGATAGAACTCGCTAGCAGAAAGGTCACAATGGAATAAGAACGGCAGCAATACTGTTTCACCATGATATCATTTTAGATTGAAGATACGTTTCCGTTTAATTTAACCCAAAGCCGTTCATAGCTTAACTGTTTGTTCCATTTAATGTATCTATTTTTCTCATTAAAATTAAAAAATATTTTGGTAAAATTCTACAACGGGCGTTTTTTTCTCCAAAAAGTAAAGACAAAGGAAAATCTTTCATTTGTAGAGGTAAATTTAATGGTAAATTGTTGTTGTACATGAGGAACTATTTCCAAATGAAGGGGGAAAGATGAGTAATCTTAAAGCAAACATATTTCATTGGTTATATTGTATTTTTTAGTTTGTCAGAAAAACTGGGATATTTGTTTCCAATCAAACGTCCCGTCTGTATCATGAATAATGAAACAATGGTATACTTGTATAAATACCTGTTGACAGCAAGCCACAGAATCCCGATAACGGCTGATGGTAAATTAACTCAGTTTACTGTTTTAACAGGAGGCCTGTACAGTACAGCTGACGGATGGGGTCGGCGATCTAATGACAAACAGAAATCTGGAAGTCTTATCATAAAGATGTGGAAGTTCTTTAATGGTGTCCACTTGTTCAGCGAGACAAAAGATATCGGAAGTAAAGCGACATCTATAGTGAAAGAGATGCCTTTCCATCGACCTTTGACATAGACCATGGTCTTCCGTCCGTCATGGTATGTCGTGTGTCCCCTGTTCTATAAACAGTATCCTCGCGCCTCAGCCAGAGACATCCCACGTCATATCCCATGTTAGATTTTTCTATCTCGTCCGTTCTGTCTTGTACCTTTACGTGACATTTCGCGGAATTTTTACACTGCGATGTATTCCTCCGCGCGTTAATTGCTTGAAATAGACAATTTGCATTATAACTGTTCTGTTTTGTCGTTATATGTATAGTTTTGATGTTGTTAGATATTTCACACTGTGAAATACGTTGTAATCTATATAACGGCGGACTACATTTTTACGCGGAAGCATTCAAATGTAGCTTTAGTAGTGAAGAGGTTATTGTCATTTGAGGCCCAAGGCGGGATACTTATAGTTTTTAGCAAAATTGAATAGTTCTTTTTGAACAAAAAGGTGCGAGAACAAAAATACCTGTAACTGAGCGATATCGGGTTATCTCAGTCGAGGGTTAAGATTCTGTAACAAAATTTGTAATAACTTGTGCCCAATCCATTGTTCAATTTTATTGGCAATAAATATGTTTAAAGTAAAAAGTAAACAAAATCCAAACCGAGGCGTAAGCCGAGGTTGGGATGTTACAGAATCTTAGCTCGGTACAGATTAAAGAGTTTATTAGTACGGTAGTCTAGTGGTAGGACTCCGGGCTCATGACCGAAGGGCTGCGGGTTCGAGTCACGGCACGGCACTGTGTTGTATCTTTGAGTAAGATCCTTTACCCCACTTGTTCATGTCTACTCAGATGTGAGTGAGGACGTGGTTGAGCAGTGCTAGAACTGTAGAATGATAGCTGTGAGCGCCGAAATGGCAGCACCAGCTGTATGCTCCCCAATGAGTTGAGAAATACATTGGCTAATTACAGAAACCCTATTACCACGGATAATCATTGGTGAACCGCTTTGAGACCACCTACGAACTAGGTTGTGATAAAGCTGTACATAAAAATCTCGAGTTATTATTATTATTATTACAGGAATAGCATTGTACAAATATGTAAGTACAAAATATCGAACTACAATTCTGCGTATGCAACGTTGTCGGAACTTTGTAGAATGCTTTCTTTCCGTATGGCATTAACCATTTAATTAAACAACGTGTTTCAGGTAAAATCCACAGAAGGACTGAACGCCAACTTCCATTTCCCTGCCACAGGAGCTGTACAGAATGCTCAAGCAACCGGATCTTACGGGGGTTTAGTTTATGCCTACTCCACATCCAGTATAAAATTGTGGCAGCCGCCACGTAGCCATGGTTACCTTATATATGTCAACCATATTTGGGGAGGAGGTGCCTTCACACAAAGTTCCAACTCAGCACAGATGGTGGTCCAAGCCTGGAATGCGTATACAATCTGTACGATATTGCAATAAATATGTGTCCATAAAGTTATGATATATCGATTATCATAGCGTTAAAAAAACATAGGCGGATCCGGACGAGGGCACCTAAAAAAACAACATTCTTTTTAATTCAAACTTCATGCATCCACCTCTGACAAAGAACACAGTAAAGACAGAAAGTTCTGAGATATTTACCAGAATTTCTATTTATACGTTAACAACTTTTGAAAATGAACAGGATTTCAACAAGCAGGTCATAATAAATAATTATACTTCATCAATAAATAAACCACATGTAACACAGGAAAAACAGAACCGTAGTCAGAACGTCTGGATCAACCAGAGTTTAGGAAAACAATCTTCTATTTTGAAACTTGAAAATCAGTCGTTCGACAGAAAGTACCGGCATACCCTTGCTTATCTCCCGCACCAGAGATTCAGCATGGTCGATTGGCACGGTTGATAGTGCACTCACCTATTACCAAGACGACCGGGGTTCGATTCCCCAATCGGACGCGAAAAGGTAAGGGATTGCCTGACCGATTACGCTTTCACAAATAATGACTTCTCATGAAGAATAAATCTAATATTTGTGTTTATATTTATATCATATGGTATTTTTTTCACATCCTCCAAAATGTGTAAAAAGCAATACAGTATACTAACCACCTTCACTTAAAATGAGGAAATTGAGGTAGTAAAACGCTATATATTATATCTGATATACTTGATGGCCTGTCTGACTCAATGTTTATATGTATATAAGGTAAAGGAGAAATGCTCAGATTAACAATGATATAAATAAGACTGTACGTACATACTGACATCTGCTGGACGATTCACATAGGTATTTTCTCAGCAAACCATTGTGACATTGTTTACATTCATTAATCATGATAAAAAAATATGTATTTTAAACATGAATCTCTTTAGCTTTGCTGTTGTGATTCGTCCTTTTTTATCGTCTGTCATCTTTTCTTCCCGGTTTTGACATCCTGACCTCAAACTGAACACACGTGAGTAATTTTCCTTCACCTTCAAACTGATTTGGGGACCTGAGAGCAGTTCCCTACTCCCTGTAGAGACGGTGTGTTACAACACACGCCACATTTCCCTATATTTGGGTTTTACTATTAAGGGGCCGCGGTGGCCAAGTGGTTAAGGCATCTGACATGCTGCCGCTACCACTAGCCCTCCACTGGCTCGTGGGTTCCAGACCTACGTGGGGTAGTCGCCAGGTACTGACGGTAGGTCGGCGTTTTTTCTCCGGGAACTCCGGCTTTCCTCCACCACCAAAACCGCGCACGTCTTTAACTGGCCATAGCTGTTAATAGGACATCACACACAAACAAACCAAAGAACGGGTTTGATAATTGTTATGTACAAGGTAATCAACAAACGTTACTATGTTTTAAGTTAATGTGCAATTCGAAATGGTCACCATAACCATGTACAATGTCAAAACTTTATTTTGAAAACAATGTATATATATAACTCAAATGACGGAGTTGATATTGATGACATTTTATGTAAATGTGCAGTAGATGTATTGATGATTTTCGTTAATCCAAATTGATTTACAATCATCACTGCCGTTATCCTCGTAAGAGCCTGGAGTAATTCCATTTATTGCTGTTTGTGGGCAGCATAACTCGATACTTTAGCGTCAATTATCTGGCAGTCAGACTATACTAAACGCCTTTCGTCCGTGGTCCGTTGTTTCATCTATATAGATTACCAATGGTCCGTAGTTTTAGTTCTGCATGTTTAATGAATTCATTTTCACTGAAGTTCCTTTCGGCCTATCCAACCTTTCACGACTTTCGGTTCAACACAAATGCTTGCCTCCTTCTATCTATATATATACATCTTATTATCCACAGAGACCAGAATAGCTTAAATGCGGAGGGTATTGTTTATGACTGTTCTCAAAAATAGTTACTGCTCCATTCCACTTATACATGATGTACGTTAACGGCTGATTAACATGTAGTAGTGACATCATTTGCCATTATTGCTTTTAACATATTTGTGGTATTTAGCTGTACGCGTCCGTATGGAATGGAAAGCATCCTTCCGTATAATATTGTACGAGACACATTGCGGCGAAACTTTTAGCGCGTGAGCAGAAATACCACGTGTGAATGCCAGTGAGGTACTGGGCGGATGTGATGTAATGTGTTGCAACCCTGTTTGTTCAGTTATTAGTGTTGGATCTTGGGTAGTTTACTGGCGCACTGGTCACTTTGAATAGAGCGGCCAGAGCGAGCATACCTATTCGTACTTATACCTAGCCAGCATAGAAATTGAAATATGTAGCGGGTACAAGACCGTAATACCAGTGTATAAATAGCAGTGTAATTCATTATAGTATCTATTTAATAATATCTTTAATTAACGTAATATTTTTGTTTTAAAGTAAAGTTAATATTTTGAAGTATTTTTAAATATAGAAATCGGGCGTGGTCAATGCAGTAAACAAGTGATTTCGAAGAAGCAAGTTTTTAAATATAAGTGTATATTGTTTCCTTTTGATTTTAGTCTTTTTAGGACTCGGCGGACTTTGTTCCGAGAAAACCCTCATCACATTGAAGAGGTGGGTATTTTACATATTTGTAAGTATGTTGTATAATTAGATAAAAACTGTAATTTCTATATAATATATAGATTGAATGTCACAGTTAAAAAACCTATGAAATATCCTGGCTACGGCAAGGTAGGTGTTTCACATGTTTGTTTCATTATGTATAGTAATATTATGTATTTCATGTTACAGGTTATTTATAAGTAATAAACAGGTCAACAAATAACCCAGGAGTTGTCGTTTATCGAGAGTAAAGACGACTATTACAAATAAGATATATCTGTTATAATAGGCTATCAGCTTCAACTAGCGAAAATGATTTCTCCCCTGCCCAGTGGTTATGTCGTCTTCCGGTCCAAGGGTTGTTTATATTCAGATTCGCCTTCAGACAGACCGATGGAGAAACGCCTTGTCACCGTAGAGTTTACCCAGGATAGATTCGCCATCGTGCGGATGAGGAATGGACAAAACCGCCTAAATTTGATCTTTCTCGATAGCCTCAATCAGGCACTAAATGAGGTCGAGAGGTAAGTTATAAAGAGGAGTGTGTAGCGACAGGCCTATCACACACGTGTGTAAACAACGAATACATGTGTGTACCTTACCATAGTGCAGAAACGAACTTTCCTCATGTCTTGGCGAGTTGAGGCAAATGAAGTGTGTGGATATCTTTCATGGTACTCTTAGAAATGATAAACAAACTAAGTGACACAGGACCTAGTTAGCAGTGTAAAGTATGTATTTATATTGTCTAGCATATGTATCCTAGTGTGTGATCGTGGCCGTGTCGGTATACGCTCGCTAAGTCTACCCCTGGTTTGTTCAGATATATAACTGCTGTCATATTGTCGACGAACAACTTGATGTGCGAGTTTTGGATGTCGCGACAGAAAGTCTGCAAAGCTAACAAAACAGATTTTAACTCAAGCACATTGATGTGTAAGTCAGTCTCTATATCTGACCACATGCCACCTGTAGACTCGGCAGTGTCAACCACAGTAGCCCCCCAGCCATATCCTGAGGCATCAGAGGCCAGGGTCACCTGTGGCGGTGTCAAGGTCACTGCCTTGCATGTTGACTCAATATTATTGATCCACCACATTATGTCTTCCTTACATTCAAGTGAAATGTGCATGTTGTCATCATAATTGCCTTTAGCCTGTTTTAGATTAAGGTTTTTGAAAATCTCTAGTTTTTTGTAATGTAAAGCAGGGTGCCTATCAGTTCAGAAACTTGTCTGATTGTACAAGTGTCTCTATGTATAAAAGTCTCACATAACTTCTTTATCTTGGTAGCTTTGTCTGCTGCTGGTTTCACAGTCATGTCAATAGAATTTAGTACAAACCCCAGGTATGTTATACACTGTGTAGGTTCTGGGATAGATTTATGGGGGTGAACAGTGAACCCCAAAGAGTCCATAAGGCTAACGGTGTCGGTCACATTGTCCAAACATTGTTTTTGTGAGTCTCCCAATAACAGTGAATCATCAATGTAACTTGTGTTTATATGGCCGCACTTTCGTAACGTAGAAAACACGCATTTCATGATTTTTGTGAATACACGTGGTGCACAAGACAACCCATTCGCGAGACAAATGAACTGGAATAATTGGTAATCCCAGTAAAATTTCATGAATTTTCTATCTCGTTCAGCGACCGGGATCGAATAATAAGCGTCTTTTAAATCTGCTGAGGCAAAGAAACAATCTTTCCTCATCAATACGATGGCCATATCCATTTTAAAATGATGATGTTCGACAAACTCGTTAAGAGAGCTTAAATTTAGGATGATACGGCGAGGAAAAATGTTTGAGATGTATTCACCATCGTTGTGTACAGTTGGTTCAATAATGTGCTTCGCGATAAGCTTTGTCATTTCTCTAACAATGAGTTCTCTCTCTTTTGGGGTAAAGCTTAAAGGCCTTGGGGCCCTCCGCTGATTTGGAAACTGTTCAAAAACAATCGAGTACCCGTTCACACTATTCAAGATCCAGTCATCAGATGAAATATTATGTCAGTTATTCAAGAATGAGGCTGTTTTCCCAGAGTGAAAAATTTCAGGTGTATTTTGAAGTTGAGGCAACAAGGCATGTGGCTTACCTTCGACAAATCTAGTCCTTTTGATTTTGTCGGCCTCTGCGGCGTAAAAAAGATCCCCGGCTTGTTGGCTTTTGGAAAGGCGCTGCACGGTATTGACCCCTGTGGTTTGAATGTTGTTGGTATCCCCGTATATTGGTTGTAACCTTGGTTGTAGCCTCTCCCAAAAGGGTTACTTTGACCCTGGTAGTTGTACGGCTTGCCCCTGGGTGATGGTGATGTATATTGACGTCCCACTTTTTTTGATAGGGTCCTTGTGTCGTGTATTTTCTTTGATTTGTTTAGGTAGGTCGTCCCCGAACAGCTGTGTCGTGACAGCATTCCCCGGTAGACACAACTTCTGGTATCGCTTGGGAGCATTTAAAATTGTCCTTTCTGAGTTGTGACAGCTCTGTGAAAGCCTACGACTGCATCTTTAACGTGTCCATGAGTTTAACTGCGTTTTCCTTCACAGCAGGTGCCGTGTTACCTCCCTTGGAGACTTTAATGAGACTGTTTAGCTTTTACCATCATGGATTGATTTTTTTGTACTGATTTGTCTTTGGTTCTGCCTCTGTCCAAACCTCAATGTTGACTTTGGGTGTTGTCAAATTAGGACAATTAATCGGCCGATTGTACTTCGCCTTGGTGTCACTAAGACAGTGTGCACCGATCATAGTTCGAAAAGCACCGTTGCAGGAACTGGCCAGTTTGTCATTGATGTTAGGTCCACATACCTCTTCGTTGTTATAGAGGGTGGAGGTCTCTCGCGGGCCCGTGAGAGCGAAGCTCTCCTTATAGGTAACACGTATGTAAGAAAATAAAGAATATTCACAATACCTATGGAACTGAAAAACTTGTCTTAACATGGCCGCCGGTCGCACGCACTGTAATCTCCGCCATCTTGATCTCGAAACACTTAAATATTTGATACTTTCCGGTTAAAGATGTAAACTCCCTTGACATAACGTTACCGGCTACATCGCTCTTGTTCTGAATGGTCGAAAAATTATTGTATCGGCAGTGTAGTCTCGTTCAATCAGACGCTTGCGCAGACAACAAGAGTCTGGTTGAACGAGACTATCACGTAGAGTTACGGTCCTTGCACTCCCTACGACAACTCTAGGTAAAGATTGCAGTGGTATATATTTAGAAAACGGAATATCAACAAAACAACGTGGTTGTCAACAAAAAGGGAGTTTATCACAGTGATGCAAAATGATAGGATAAAAAAGCATACAAGTTTTTTCATCAGAATTTTTTAATTGATATTTCGCACGAAAAAAATAGAAGAAAAAAATTGAATCCATACTGTACTGTAACATTTTCATTTTTGATTACTATCTCACAGCTATTTTTTATTCATAAAGGAAAATCTGCTGTTATACAAATCTGCACGATTCAATTTCAATTTCTAATTGAGGAAACAATACATTTTCTCTATTGCTAAAACTATACATAAAGCAGAGACATATAAAGCATATAGTCAGTAAGTTGCTGAAACAAATGTATTCATCCACAATATATATATGATATATAGATCTATTGACTCTCTTGGCTGCAATGATGGGTATTGAAAAATGACAAAAAATGTGATTTCGCATTTTCTTCTTATTTTTAATGGAAACTTCATATAAATCCAGTTTTTATAGCATTGAACAAATTAATTTTTATACATAAAAAGCATAAAAATTGTAAATTACTATGCATAAATTCTCTCTGGATGAAATATTTATAAATCATTGAAGTTAGGTTGAAGTAATCCAAAGGGCTTATTCGTAAAGATATATACATATATAATATATATGTATATTTTTTCGTGGATATCAGATAACTATGCTATTATACATGATTAACAATATCCATCCTAATATGTTTTATAACAATGTCTTGTAGAATATGCTGCACTTGATTCTTGCAATGGATTCAAGAGGTGCAAATTTAAATACTTATATAGAGTCTATTGAACCTTTCGCATTCTCACATTAATGTCATGTCATCATTCATACGCCTAGGCGGAAAACTTAACTGTAATGTACACTGTATAGCTATGCATGTAAGTCTGATTTAGTAATTTAACACATCACTCAATGCTTGAAAGAGTACAGTACCGATATTCCGATACATTTACAGTACAACCTGGCTCCGCCCTCACTAACGGCCGTGCCGTAAAACATATTAGATCTCCTCCTTTTTGATTACTATCTCACAGCTATTTTTTTTATTCATAAAAGAAAATCTGCTGTTATACAAATCCGCACGATTCAATTTCAATTTCTAATTGAGGAAACAATACATTTTCTCTATTGCTAAAACTATACATAAAGCAGAGACATATAAAGCATACAGTCAGTAAGTTGCTGAAACAAATGTATTCATCCACAATATATATATGATATATAGATCTATTGACTCTCTTGGCTGCAATGATGGGTATTGAAAAATGACAAAAAATGTGATTTCGCATATTCTTCTTATTTTTAATAGAAACTTCATATAAATCCAGTTTTTATAGCATTGAACAAATTAATTGTTATACATAAAAAGCATAAAAATTGTAAATTACTATGCATAAATTCTCTCTGGATGAAATATTTATAAATCATTGAAGTTAGGTTGAAGTAATCCAAAGGGCTTATTCGTAAAGATATATACATATATAATATATATGTATATTTTTTCGTGGATATCAGATAACTATGCTATTATACATGATTAACAATATCCATCCTAATATGTTTTATAACAATGTCTTGTAGAATATGCTGCACTTGATTCTTGCAATGGATTCAAGAGGTGCAAATTTAAATACTTATATAGAGTCTATTGAACCTTTCGCATTCTCACATTAATGTCATGTCATCATTCATACGCCTAGGCGGAAAACTTAACTGTAATGTACACTGTATAGCTATGCATGTAAGTCTGATTTAGTAATTTAACACATCACTCAATGCTTGAAAGAGTACAGTACCGATATTCCGATACATTTACAGTACAACCTGGCTCCGCCCTCACTAACGGCCGTGCCGTAAAACATATTAGATCTCCTCCATATCTTTGAGGAGATCATCAACCACACTCGATGTGTCATTGGAATCTTCGATATCATCCAAAACAGCGTTAAACCCGTCGTCTGGCGTCTCTGATTCCCCATCTTCAGACATGTCATGGGCGCCGCTATCTTGAAAGACACCCGGATGATCATAGCTCCGCCCACTATAGTGCGACACCCGATCACATGTGGGTCGTCCCCAATACCAGAACAGCCAACATCCTATCTGTTTTGCCGTTCCATCGATTGAGTCACGGTGTCTGACGGTCAAGAATACATTAAATTTTGCACATCCTGCACTGAATAGTGCAATTTGTTGATGCTCTCAAGCGTCTGGACTTGTGATTGTAACAACAGTTCAATGATTGTCGCATCACTGCTTACGTTCTCTGATGAA